AACTGAGGAGGTGAAGGACCTATACTATGAAAACTATAAGACACTTGTAAGAAAAATTAAAGAAGACACCAAAAAATGGAAATCTATCCCATGCTCATGGATAGGTAAGATTAATATTGTCAAAATGGTCATCCTACTCAAAGCAATTTACATATTCAGTGCAATCCCTATCAAAATATTAACAGCACTTTTAAATGAAATAGAACTGGTACTTCTGAAATTCATAGACAACCACAGAAGACCTTAAATAGCCAAAGCAATCCTCAGAAAAAAGAACAAAGCTGGGGTATTAGTGCTCCCAATCTTCGAGCCATACTACAAAACTACAGTAATCCAACAGTGTGGTACAGCACAAGAACCAATCCATAGATCAGTGGAACAGAATAGAGAGCCCAGAAATTAGAACCAATCCATAGATCAGTGGAACAGAATAGAGAGCCCAGAAATTAACTTGCATATGTATTTTCAATTCACATATGGTAAAGCAATCATGAATATAAGTATACAATCAGACAAGACAGTCTCTTCAATAAATGGTTATGTGAAAACTCGACAGTCATGGAAGAGAATGAAACTGGATTAGTGTCTAACTCCATACACAAAAGAAATTAAAGACCGAAATGTAAAACATGAAACTATGAAACTTTTGGAAGAAAAAGGCAATAATCTCTTGAATGTAAGCATAAGCAATTTTTTTCTGTACACATCTATTCAGGCAAGGGGAATAAAATAAAAAATGAACAAGTGGGACTACATCAAACTAAAAAGCTTTTGTGCAGCAAAGGGCACCATCAGAACAAAAAGGCTACCTACATCATGGGAGAATGTATTCATAAACGATTAATCTGCTAAGGGATTAACATCCAAATATATAAAGACCTCATATGCCTCAACACCAAAAAAAGAAGTAATCTGATTAAAAAATGGGCAGATGACCTGAACAGACATTTCTCCAAAGAAGACATACAGATGGCCAACAGGCACATGAAAAGATGCTCCACATCACTAATCAGCAGAGAAATGCAAATCAAAACCACAGTGAAATTTCACCTCACACCAGTTAGTAAGGCTTCTATGGAAAATATAAAGAGTCTTGGCTATTGTACATAGTGCTGTAATAAACATATGGGTGCATGTGTCTTTTTGAATCTGTTGGTGAGAATGTGGATAAAAGGGAAACCTCCTACACTGTTGATGAAATATAAATCGGTGTAGCCACTGTGGAAAGTAGTGTGGATGTTCCTCAAATAAGTAAAAATAGAAATACCATATGACCCAGTAATTCCATTTCTGGTATTAACTGAAGAAAATAAAATCCCTGACCCAAATAGATATATGTACCCCTATGTTTATTGACACATTATTTACAATAGTCAAGGTGTGAAAGCAACCTAAGTTTCTATCAATAGATGAATGGATAAAGACGTGGTACACACATACAGCAGAATATTATTCAGCCATAAAAAGGAAAGAAATCTTGCCATTTCAAACAACATGGATGGATATAGAGGGCATTAGGCTTAGTGAAATAAGCCAGACAGGGAAAGACAAATACCATATGATTTCATTCATTTGTGGAACTAGAAATAAAGCATAACAGAATGAACAAAACATAAGTAGACTCATAGACCCGAGTGGTGGTTAACATGGGGGAGGGGGTGTGTGCGTGGATGTGGTGGGTGTGTGGGATAAAGGGACACAAAATCTCAATCATTAATTAGTCACTGGGATGAAAGTACAGCATAGAGAATATATCCAATGATTTTGTAACATATTCCTTTGTTGACAGATAGTCACTACACTAGTTGGGGTGAGTATTTAATGATGTAGATAACCCTGTGTTGTATACTTGAAACCAATATAATATTGTGTATCAACTATATTTCAATACAAAAATAAATTAAAAAATTGTCTTGTAAATTAATAGAAATATTATCAAGTATATTAGTATGGGGAGATACAATTTCAGTCCTTTCTTTTGTAAGTTGTAGAGCATAGTAGAATTTTGGCAAATAGTTGTAGGACTCTCAGTTTTTAAGTTTTTTAATTTGGCCAACTCACCAAGGCTCAAATTGAGGGGTGGTCCACTTTTGCCTGGGTCAAAAAAAGCACAGCATGGGGGAAACTTATTTATTTTTTGCAGGAGGCTTTGTAAGGTTTCCCAGTTGGCAAAATCTATATCCCACATCTGATACACAAAAAAGCTAGGGTTAGAAATATGGGTATTTTAAAAGTAAAATGTCTAAGGTGTAAAGTGCATCTTTGAATACTCAAGATTTTGTTTAGGTAATCCACTCAGCTTAATGAGTAACATAACATGTCATTTGTTCACAGATACCTGCTAATGTGAAGAGTAGTATCATGTTTTCTTCATCTGGCATTTGACAGCTGTTAACTAGTGAGATGAGAAATTAGAGTTTGTACAACAATAGGCATATGCTGGATCCCTTTAAACAAAACTGCTTCACTCTCTAAAGATTGGCAAAATGTGTATGTTATACTATTGAGAGAGTTAGGTTTTCTTAATTAAGAATACAATATTTGTGTTTTTATGTGCAAGAGTATATTGAAGCTTACAAGATAAAAAATTGCCATAGTAATATATAAACCAATCTGTATAAACCAATGTGTATCACACATTTAATCCATCAAATATTTTACAAAATTGGTAAGTATATGTATTTTAAAACATTTGTAATACTGACTTAATAAGGAATACTAAATTTATCATCCTTACCTTTCTTTTTCTCTCTGATCATAGGTGATTTCCTTTTTTTCTGCCCAGCATTATGTTTTCATATTTTGTCTGTCACTCTTTTGCCCCTTGTATTGGGCTAAAAGGGGAAATATTTCCTAATATGTAACTGTCCTCTTAATGAAATTTTCCATTTCCATATGATCACTTATTGGAGTGGTGTTTTTGTAACTATTAGTGGTAGTGCACTAATTTTAATTCATTCTGGAAGGAATAGTACAGTATGGCATAGAGGTTAAGAGTGTGGTCCCTGGAACCAGACCAATTTGTCAGTCTGCTCACAGCAAGTTACTAAGTTGTCTTGCCAAGGGGTTTCAGCCCCAGGCAAGTTCACTATGGATTCAATGAGACTATAATAACAATGGAATGTTCTTGGGGTAAAAGGGTTTGTACCCAACTTTATTCTCACCGTGGCAGGTCAATCACTAGAATCCTGTCCACTCAGAGCAAGTCTGCCTGCAGCAAGCCGGTCTCTGCCTTTGGGCCCCTGTGTCCCCACAGCCTTCTCAGTCTCTGTCCTTGGTGCTACCACCGCTCCAGTCTCTCTTCTGCAGCCTTGCAGCCCTGCAGCCCTGCGCTCCTGCCACCGTGTTGCCCAGAGCACTGGGCAGAGCTCTTTACATAGAGTCAGTAACAATGTGTTGCCCACATGTGTGTAATGAGTAAGCCAACCAGGGCCTGGTGAGAATCCTGGCCACAGGAACCTTCACTTTCTCCATATAAGTATGTGACTTTAGCAAGGTACTTCACTTCCCTCTCCTTTGGTTTCCTGATTTTTTAATAAAGTGGGTGAAGTCAGTGCTCTCATTCTTAGTAAAATATAAAGAAACTTAACTATTATAATGGCAATAATAAGAATCATTGAATTAATTAGTTTAGATTGTGAACTTGACATACTAGCACTTGTATATGTTTAATTCATTCATGTGAAATACAGATCAGGTTGGCTGTAATTCTCCAATCTGGGATCAGGATGTCTACTTAAATGATTATCCATTTCCCTTAAAAAATAGTAACAGCATCTGTTGTGCATTATGAGTACATTTTCCAAGACCAACTATCAACTCAATACAAAATAATTTGATTACATTCACTTTAATGTATATTTGAGTACATAGTATATGCAAAGCAATACAGCTAATATACAAATATATGACATCCATTTTCTGTACTCAAGTATTATCAATTTAACAGACAGAATTGGGAATAGCAATCTACTTTTCAGACCCTTGGGTGGATGGAACGGGTGTATCCATAGTGGTTATATCAAAATCTTCCATACCTTTCCTTATTTTTTTATCATCTCAAATCACATAGTCTGTTCACTAAGTCCAAAAATGTGTTATTAAAATGAAGGCTACCAAGCCTATAAAGAAAACAATATTCACGGTAACATGTAATATTAGAACATTCATTATAAAAATTAAAGTCACTAGTAGTTAATTATATTGATACATATAAGTATGTACATAAATATCTATATATAAATATATACAATTATAATTGATATATGTAATCATATATATAATTATATATGATAAGAGGAGAAGCGAATTCAGATTGGATTGGATTAATGATAGAAGCAAAATGAATCAGAAAGTCAGTTTAAGCATCTTGGGGAGCCAGGGGAAAATAAATTGAACTACATACTCTACCTTGTTCGTTGTTTTAAGGAATCTCTTAAGTTAGGCTTGCAGTCCACAGTTATTTATTTTCCATGCTAGAATTACAAGTATTTACAGGTGTGTTACTTGTTAAAAAGTATGTAGTGCACAAATAGAAGTATTTAATTTTATTTTTATAAGAGAGGCACGAATAAAGTATGACCATTGTTAGTATTGAGTGGGAGAGGTCATCCTTTGGAAGGCTATTGGAAAAACTTCATGAAAGACATCTGAACTGGGATCTGAAAGGAAGCAGGTGGTTTTGCGGGAAGTTTGGGAGCTTTAGTGCTCGGTCAGGGTATCATTGGGGGAGCAGAAACTGAGTGAGAAGTGTACATGGTATACTCATGAGGCTGAATATTCATTTGAGCAGAAATTAGGCCATATGTGGGAGTTGTTTTGAGAGATAGCATTTGGAGAGGTAGGTTGGTGCTGTATTCTCGTCCTGGAATGCCTTTAATTTAAGTAATGGAGATCCACAGAAGATTTTTACGTGGGTGGTGGTTGTGGTAGGCTAAGACAACTGGATCATATACTCATTACATTTGTGTGTTTATGAATTCATGTTTTGTCTCTTTCAGGAAGTTCATGATTTATTACAAGACTATGAGTTAAAGTACTGTTATGTGGACAGAAATAAGCGAACTGGTAAGAGTTCAGTTTTAAGCATGTGATTTAATTTTTATCCTACATGTAGTCATTATACAACAAAAAACTTAGTCTCTTTCTGTTCTTAAACTAATATTTGAAATTCTTAAGCATTGAATCATAAATGCTACTCATATAATTTGTTTTCTGAAGGTAATATTATATCCTAAATCTTAATCTCATCAGTTAATATTTTTAACTACTAGTGACTTTAATTCTTACAATGAATGTTCTAATATTGTATGTTATAATGAATGTTGTTTTCTTTATAGGCTTGGTAGCCTTCATTTTAATAATACATTTTTGGTCTTAGTGAACAGACTGTGTGGTTTGAGGTGATAAAAAAATAGGGAAAAGTATGGAGGATTTTGATATAAGCATTATAGATATACCTATTCCAAATTTGCAGATGTTTTATTTAAATGTTTTATATTCTTAAAATGTTAAAAAAATTGTCTTTAAAAAAATGTATAGATGCTAGGGCCTTACTGTAGTTCTGTTGAATAAAAAAAAGTCTCAGGTAATATGTTCAGGAATTCTATATTTAGTTTTTATGACTTTAAAAAAACTGTAAAAAAGGGTTATGACCAATAAAGATGAAATCCAGTTTCTTCCCCTCTCAGATTCTATTCCTTCCTTCCTTCATTCCTTACCTGAGGGCAAACAGTCAGGAATGTGGTGCATACTTTTCAATCTGTGCCATTATGTTGTGATAGTCATTACAACCATTTGCAGATTCTTGTTCTTTTTCTTTTGGGCATGAGGTAAGATAGCACTTCTCTGTCCCTCTTTCACATTAGGAGTGGACATGTGATTTTTTTGCTTTTTTGATGAATAAAGTGCAAATGGAAATGACATGTATCCCTTGCAGGTGGAAGGGTTCAGAGGTAGCATGCTAGTTACTGCACACCTATCACCCTTCGAAAGTAATGGAGGAAGATCGCAGAAACTTTTTTAACTTAAGTCCCAGAGTGACTATAGTGAGCAAAGCCCTCTCACTTCCTTTCAGCATGAGACATGCAGCATGAACAACAACAAAAGAAACCCTTTTGTTTTGTGAAGCCATTCAGATTGTTGGAGCTGTTTGTTACCACAGTATATTGGACTAATACCTATAATTTTACTATATGTATAATTAATAGCATTCTCAGTGTTTTTAAAACTGGATAAATGGTATTGTGTACATTTTATTAAGCAATTTGCTTTTTGAAAATGTAACCTTATTTTCAGATCTTCCCACATTGCTGCATATAGCTCTAGTTCATTGATTTAAACCACTACATATTCTGACCTATGAATTTAATAAATTCATTAACCACTGATAAGTCTATTACTGAAAGGCATTTAGGAAGCTTTAACTTTTCTAGTAATTCAAACAATGCTGCAGTGAATATCTGTTTACTTGTTTTCTAATATACATTACAGCTGGTTCCCCACAAATGAATTACTGAGCCATACATTACATAAAATTTCACAGTTACTAAATATTTACAAAGGGATTAGAGGTAAGTCACAGCTCATACAGGGCCAGGAATAGCGCTATTCCCATGAACTAGGATGATAAACTGCCTAATTCATGGTGCCATCATGAGTAGTATTAGGAGTAATACTCATTTTTGTCTCAGGAATAGTGAAAACCAACTCTAGATCAACAGTGCTCTGGTCCTCAGGAATAGTGAAAATTAACTCTAGATCAGAAAGGATCAAACTATTCCCTGGTAACTTAACTATATTCTAGAACAAAACTCTAGAGTGTTTATATGAATACAAAAATATCCAGCACTCAGCAAAGTAAAACTTGGAATGTCTGGCATCCAATAAAAAATTATCAGACATAGCAAAAAAACAGGAAAATATAACCTATAATGAGGTGAAAAATCAATCAAATGAAACTGACCTGGAATTGAAACAGACAAGTTAATGCAAATGGACATTCCAACAGTTTTTATAACTGTGTTCCACATGTACAAGACATAGTAAAGGTTGAAAATGAAGTAGCAGTGTGGAAGATAATTAAATACCTAAGTCAAATTCACTAAAGATGAAGATTGTGATGTCTGAGATGAAAAATGTACTAAATGTGATTAACAGCAGAGTAGACACTGCAGAAGAAAAGGTTAGTGAATGTGAATACATAGAGATAAAAACTATCCAAAATGAAACACAGAAAGAAAAAAATGATAAAATATGAACAATAGCATCAGTGATTTGGGGCAACTTCAAGAGTCCTAAGATCAGAGTAATTGGAGTCCCTGAAAGAGGGAATGGGTAATATAGAAAAGATATTTAAAGAAATAGTGGCTGAAAATTTTCCAAATTCGATGCAAACTCTAAATCTAGCTATGTTCACATTTGCCATGTTGTTATAATTTAATTTGGGTAAGTTAAATACTCATATGGAACAACTCCACTATATCTTCCAGAGAGGAAAAGGGAAGAATGTTGAGAGAAGAATTAATTTATAATTTGTAGATTATCCTGTGTTGTTTCTTCTAATTGGTGCTTTAAATTTATAGTGTTGCTTGAAACCTCTATATTCTTTGTTTTTATGACAACAGATAAACGGTTTAATAAGGCTATGTCTTAATTTTATCAGATACGATTGTGCATATTTCATTAACTTAGAACCATATTTTATATCATTTTTATTTTATAAATTGTCATATGTATTTGTTGCTTGATGCTGGAACAACTTCATTAAGTAGGCAGGACATTTTTCTTTTTTTATTGTTTTACAAAGTTTCAAAGTTAAGCTACTTGTCCAATATTACAAGCCTGTGATCTTTGCATAACATAATATTCATCCAAAAAGTATGCCAAATTTTATATGTGTGTGCATGTGTGTGTTTTCAACCTAATTAATCAGATTTTAAGGAAACATTCATGATTGGAGATAGAACTGGCTTCTTCTGGGCATTTTGGTGTCTTTTTGCTATACCTTTGTTTTTTTAGGTCCTTATTATGAAATAGGGTCCTTTAGAACTCTAAGGAGAAAGAAAGGTTTTAAGACATCACATGTTGGGGGAGAAAGTAAACTCTGTAAGTAGTTTGAAAAGATTTTAAAAATTAAGAAAAAAAAATTTAGTACCTTATGGTAGAAATCTTAATAAAATTCCTACACTTTAATTTCAGTTACTGGTCATGAAATGAGTTTTGTGCATGTGTCAGCATTTCTAAAACACAATGAAATAGAAGAAAAGATATCAGAGTGCATTGCAAATGGTAGTATTCTTGATACTTTTGTTTCCAAAATTGTGTGTGTGTACATGTGTAAAGAGTCACAGACACAAAATGTATTTGTTACTGTGGATCATAGTCAAAAACAGTTGGAAACACTAGTTTAGAAAGCTCTAATTCATTTTGTTATCTTCCAGCTTTTGTTACTTTATTAAATGGGGAACAAGCCCAGAATGCAATTCAGACGTTTCATCAATATTCTTTTCGAGGAAAAGATTTGATAGTCCAGCTCCAGCCAACAGATGCTTTGCTATGTATTACCAACCTGCCCACTTCTTTTACATTAGAAGAGTTTGAAGAGCTTGTTCGTGCTTATGGAAATATTGAGAGATGTTTTCTGGTCTACAGTGAAGTTACTGGACATTCCAAAGGCTATGGATTTGTGGAGTACATGAAAAAGGACTTTGCTGCAAAGGCTAGATTGGAGCTATTGGGCAAACAGTTGGGAGCATCAGCTCTCTTTGCACAGTGGATGGATGTTAATCTTTTGGCTGCAGAGCTCATTCACTCTAAGTGCCTTTGTATAGATAAACTCCCTAGTGACTATAGGGATTCAGAGGAACTGTTGCAATTTTTTTCCAGTATCCATAAACCTGTGTTTTGCCAGGTATGTATATTTAATGTATCATTTCGAGTATTTAAAAAATCTGCTTATGTATCTATTGTACAGATCCTCAAAAATGTATCATACCTATGCGATTATCACAATAGATATCTAATTTTCTTTTGTCTGTAATGACTTCAATGTCATGGTAAATTTTAAATCAAATCCTTCTGTGAATGTGCCAGACTACACTGTTATATAGTTAAGTATGTGTTAGCAAATCCATCACTTACTCATTCACCTTCTTATTCCATCCAGTCATTGAACCATTCATCCATTGATCATTTGTCCATTCAAGTCTTATTTATCACCTTCTCTTGCTAGCCAGTATTTTGCTGAAAGTCAGAAATACTAAGAATAGAAATATATAGAAATTTTCAAGAGAAAGATACTCTGTCAGTTCTTTGTAGAAGAGACTGACAAATAAGCTAATAATTGTAAATCTTGCATGAAGAATGCTATAATAGAAGATAGAAAAGTATGATGAGGTTTTAAAAGAATATATAATTCTATCTTAATAGAGTCATGGAAAGTAAAACCTTTAGGGGAGAACCTTAAAACTGGCAACAGTGGCAGGAATTGTTAAGTACTTTATCAGAGTAAAATGTATTGTACTGAGTAGAGAAAATGCACACTGTATTGAATACCTTCCCTTATAGATGTTTGATAGCAGCTGAGGAGCTTTCTCGCTCGCTTCCCCTCAGCGCTTCCTTCACTTCCCTCACCACAAGAGTCCTCACTTCCCACCTCCCGTCTTTCCGCTCTATAAACTCCCATTTTTTAAAATCATATTGTTGAGTCTTGTCTATTGCAGAAGAAAGTTTGGAGTTAGAGTAATATACATATATAGAGTATAATATATATATGTGTATATATGTAATATATATATGAGTAACGCTACCATCCATTTCTTATATTTCCACTCCTCTAATCCCAGTAATATCAGTATCAAAGAAACCATCCAAGAGCTTTATAAAATTCAAATATTTTGCAAAAATTCTTTATCAAATCTTTGTCCAGTTATTGAAAGTTGATGGTCTTATTGCTCTGCTATTCTTGAATGCTTAGACTTAATATAGTGATCTCCTGTGTCCATACATAATTCTTGTAGCTTTAGTTGAAGCCTTTGAAGCAAATGTGAGGGGAAAAGACATTTATTACAAATTGTATTTGAATTATGAATCCCACAGTTGGAAGGGAACTGAGATTATTTGTTCTAGCTGTGCCATCTGGTAGAAAAATGTTATATTACTTGTGAATGACCTTTTAGCTTCTGTTAAAATTTTTCAAAATAATGGAAAATCAGCTTATCATAAAGCAGACCGTTTCATACTTGAATGGCTCTCATACTGAACTGAAATACTCCTCTCTGAAACTCCTTCCTGATGCTGTGGACTTAGATGATTTTGTCTTCTGAAAGACTTAGAATTGTATTATAATTTATATAGGCATGAGGGTTATCATAATGAACCAAGAGTTAAAAAAAAATGTTTTAAAGTTTTCATAAGATCAGTGAAACAACTTTATTATCTGTGGATCTGTAAATTCAGGCTGTTTCCCTCCGTAGGTTGACACAGACCATATTGAAGACATAGGCTCTTACCTTGTGATTAATAGAAACAAAGAGACTGATGAGGAGCTTTTTCAAATCTGGTTTTTTGTTTTTTTTTTGAGAGGGCATCTCTCATATTTATTGATCAAATGGTTGTTAACAACAATAAAATTCAGTATAGGGGGGTCAACGCTCAATGTACAATCATTAATCCATCTCAAGCCTAATTCTCGTCAGTCTCCAATCTTCTGAAGCATAACGAACAAGTTCTTACATGGTGAACGAATTCTTACATAGTGAATAAATTCTTACATGGTGAACAGTACAAGGGCATTCATCACAGAAACTTTCGGTTTTGATCATGCATTATGACCTATAAACAATCAGGTCAAATATGAATATTCGTTTGATTTTTGTACTTGATTTATATGTTGATCCCACATTTCTCCTATTATTATTATTATTTTTATTTTTAATAAAATGCTGAAGTGGTAGGTAGATGCAAGATAAAGGTAGAAAACATAGTTTAGTGCTGTAAGAGGGCAAATGTAGATGATCAGATGATCAGGTGTGTGCCTATGGACTAAGTATTAATCCAGGCTAGACAAGGGCAGCAAGACATCTACGGATGCAGAAGTCAAATCTGGTTTTTTAAGATCTGGTTTGGATTATAAGAGGAATGGGGTTGTAGCGGAAATGTTTGGAAAAGATAGGAATTTTTCCTTTCATGTAATTGGAAAAAAAGTTTTATGGAGGAGAAGACATTTGACTATGATTTTAAAGGAAGGAAGAATGTGAATGAAAAATAGAAATTTGCTCTAACTATCCAAGAAAGTAGAAGAATGTTAAGGTTCAAAAACAAGAAAAAGAAATGAAAAAGGATTATTTAATTAAACTTAAAACTAAAAAGGAAATTACTTATTTGTAATATTAACTTATGACATACCAAATCCAAATGGAAGTTTATAGATGTATCTTCTCAAAGACACACAAAGCTTGAGTTTTATCACATTTACCACTTTATAGCATGAATGTGTTAAAGATAATTCAGACATGTTCAAAACCTAGGAACTTTATCACATTTACCACTTTATAGCGTGAATGTGTTAAAGATAATTCAGACATGTTCAAAATTTAGGAACTTTTTAGTGTCTTGTTTTGTTCTTAGTTTTGCTCTTTGTACCAGTCTTTACAGATCCAGGACTTTAATATCTTCCTTTACATTCTTACAGGTGGGAGACTGGAAAATAAATATTGAGTTCTATATTGCAGGAGTCTATTTAGGGTACATTCAGAAATCAAAGGTTGTGTGTTGCATATAGTATTTTAACAAACCTGGGCACACGTTTCCCAATTAAGGTCTGCTTTGTTATACTTGACCAAATTCTTGGGATCTGCCTAAACTACTGAAATAAAAGTTGATTATGCTTCCTCCTACCTTCTCTTATAATACAAACTTTATTCTACTTAGATATGTGGTCAAATAATTGTTTAGTATGTTTCATTGTTCATGTATCTGGTGAAATTATTTTAAAGAAAGTTTTAATTACTGTGTTCCCGTATTTTCCTACAAATTACCATTCACATGTATTTCTTAATATATAGGGAGTATTATCATTTTGGGCTTTGACTTGTAAAATAAATTAGAAAATCAAAGAATTAAAAAGAAAATTGACAGACTCTTGTTTACTGGCCTACTTTATTGCATCTAAGTAACTAGTAAACTTTTAATTTTTAGAAAGAGTACATTATTTTCACCAGTATCATGCTCTGATACATTTATTTTTGAATTTGAAAATTATATATTGTAAATTAATATTTCTAAGTAAATATAAGAATTACCTTTTAACAAAGTGTATTATATCAGCTTGCACAGGATGAAGGTAGTTATGTTGGTGGCTTTGCAGTGGTTGAGTATAACACTGCAGAGCATGCCGAAGAGGTCCAGCAAGCAGCTGATGGTATGACCATCAAGGGAAGTAAAGTCCAAGTTTCCTTCTGTGCCCCAGGAGCACCAGGACGAAGTACATTAGCAGCATTAATAGCAGCGCAACGAGTGGTAAGTTGATTATTCTTTATTAGGATATGGAAAACGTCTAATATTTTTAATATATCCAAGCTGATTGACCATTGATTGGCCCTTCATAGTATTCCATTACACATTCTTCCTTTTTTAAAAATTGGCTAAATGGTATTTCTCTCAAACCAAGCCAGTAGTCATTACAAAAGAAAAAATTGTGTTCAGTAAAGTATATTAATCTTAAGAAATTTTTGGAAGGAAGTTCATCCATTCAACAAATATTTGCATTCCTGTTCAATGCTAAAGTTTGAGTGTAACATGCCTCTTTTTTCAGTGTTCGTAAGTATTCATAGTATAAGGAGAGGAAGACATGTGCTTCATTGTGCTCACATGGCACATTATTTCTACTCCTCTATTGTAATTGTCTACTTACCACACTCTGCTTTTATAGTCTGCAAGTTCTATGCAGAGGGAAATTGTTCCATCTTCACAGTTTTTACACGTGCACTTAGTGTAGTAAATATTTGTTGATTGAATGCAGGAAGGAATATGCTTTTGAAGGGATCAGGGAAGCCTTCACGATGAAAGCGACATTAGAGTGTGACCTAAAGTACTCTGGAAATGGGTTCTTGTGGGTAAAGGACAGGATTGCTAGATAAATACAGATTTTACATGAGACATATGTTAAAAAAATTACTGGTTGTTCATCTAAATCCCAAATTTTACTGGGCATCCGGCATTTTTACTTCCTAAATCTGGCAACCCTAAGAAGGTAAGTGAGTGGTGGAATTCTAGGTGGAACAAAACCTTTCAAGCAGTAGTAGGAGGTGAATTTGCACTCAAAGAGAGTCTAGGTGGGCTGAGTGGATAAAGGGAGTGTGGTGAAATGACAGGGTGATGCCACATCTGAGAGGACTATTGAGCACTCAGAGAATTGAGATTGAATTTGATAAGCAATGAGGAATCTATAAATTCATGAACACTGTGGTGACAGGATGAAGAGTTAGTCTGAAAGGTGTACTGTGGATGGACTGGATAGAGGGAGAGACAAGGGGAGGGAGGAACGGGTAGGAGATTGTTGTTACTTTCCCATCTCTTGTCGTCCTCTTACTCCTTGGGAAAAATCTGTTCCTGAATCCCTTCTCCCTTTTTTCTTAGTTTGTCCTTCTTTTAGGTTCTGTCAGTCTCATAGCCTTGCTTGTTTAATTTACTACTTCAGCCATTATTTCACTTTTAATTTCATTGCTTATGGCTAAACTGTCTGTTGGATTGGATTTGCTGAGTTTACAATTCTGAATCCATCCAGTCACCTACTTCTGCAGACAGGGAACTGTGTACTCTTGGGGAAAAACAATTAGGTGGCTTGATGCCACTAAAAAATGTATGACATAACATATATTGCTGGTCCCAGCAAAACATTAGCTCATCTCTCAGCAGCCATCTCAAATCTTCACTCTGTTCTTGCCTCTCTCCTTTCTATCAGGTGGTCATGACTCCTACTTTGTAGAAATGTCAAGATCACGTGCTCCATCATTCATTCAACTTTTCTCATACTTCCCTAGCAAATGTGCCCCCATTTAAAACTTCCTTTCTCTTCAGTAGCATTCATTCCATGAATACTTAATTGAGTACCCACAACATGCTAGGCATTGTTAGAGATGTTCAGGATTCATCAGTGAACAAAGCAGACAAAGAGCCTGCCCTCTAAAAGAACTGTGCATCCTCTGCCCAAGCGGGGGCTCAAGGCCATGGTCCCCATCCTCAAGGATCTTGATCCTCACCTTTCTCCTTTTTGTCACTTGTACCTTCACTAGCTCCATCCCCTCTGCTGATAAACATGAGCAAATATTTTCCCTTAAAAATCCTGTATAGACACTGGCCTTGGTGTCACTTTTCCTTCACTACTGGAGCTTCTTGAACAACAAGGCCCCCCCTCTTTTTGTCATCGTTTCTTCATTTCCCATTTGTCTCTCAGACAAATGCACTACAGTTTCTGCCTCCACTATTGAAGTGAATCTGTTCTCACTAAGATCAGTGGAGATCTTTGAATACTCTTTTATCGCTTGGTCTTTCGGCAACATTTAAAACACTCTCCAGCCACACCGTTCTTTAGCTAACTGTTCTTTCCCTTTCTCCTTCTTTTTCCCTAAGGGCTGGTGTCAGCAAACTTCTGTATTTGGCCCTTTCAGTTTCTTCCTTACACACTCCAGTGGCTTCAGTTCTTGCATATCAGTGATGACCTGCAAGTGTGTATTTTGGACCAAACTGCCTGAAGTATTAAATCTAAATTTCTGAATGATTACTGGACATCCCACCTTCATGTTATGTAAATAAATCATTTTCATTATTTCTAAAACAAAACTATTTTCCTCCTGGACTTGCTTTTCTGTCTTCTATCATATCTCTATATGGCACCATTTCACCTGAACTCAAACTATGTGAACCAAAAACTCAGATAATCATTTTGGTCTTTGTCACCTACTCTCCAAATCTAGATGTCAAAAATATTAGCAAACCTTTCAGTTGCACCTCCTGTTTCTCTTAAATCCTTGGGATTTGTCAGCATCTTTGTTACTTTACTCAGAATCCCATTTTCCTCACCCTTGATGATTTCTCTCACTGCCCTCCCCCGCACCCCCCACGGCCACCGTGTCACTGGTCTCCCCTTCTAATCCTTCGTCTGCTGTGCCACAAGAGTAAGTTTTCTTATCTCATATTAGATCATGTTATTCTCTGCTGAATATTCTTTAATGCCTCTATAAGTTCAAATTCCTTTGCATGGCATACAGGGCCATGATCAGGAATATTAGTGATAGTGAGAAATCTTAAATTTGTCTCAGTCTCAAAAATAATGTATTCCATTGATGTTTTCTATAGGTTATTGGTATATAGCCTTTATCAAGTTTTCTGAATTAAAAAAAATACCATAAATAGGTACTGAACTTTATCAGAGTATTTCTGTAACTATTGAGATAATCATGTGATTTTTCCCTAAGTTCATTAATGTGTTGAACTACACTGATAGGTTTTCTAATGGGGTTATAAACCCTAATTGGTAATGATTGTTGTCCAACGCATTGTTTGATTGGATTGGATAATATTTGGTATATGTGCAGACATGCTTTTAAGTGAAAAATGCTTCAAAATTTTTGTACCATCCTTAACTTTGGAATTGAGAACATTGACCTCATAAAATGACTATTTTTTTCTCCTCCTTTTCTGCTTCATGGATCATCTTGTATAAAATACAGGTTGTCTGTTCTTTGAAAGTTTGAGAAGTCTTGTCTGTGTAACCATGTAGATCTAGTTCTTGAGCCTCTTCTAGAGGGACATCATTGGTCCCACTTCACTTTCTTCTACAGATATTTAAATTTTATTTTTCTCTGTGTGCCATTTTTGGCATTTGATTATATCCTGCAGCCTTACCCATTTTGTCCAAGTTTTAAAATTCATTGGCACATAGTTGTTTATAATATCTTATTATTTAAAAATTTTTCCTGTCTAGTGATCTTGTTTTCATTGTATATTTCATCTATCTGCATTTATTTTTTTCTCCTTGGTCAGTCCTGTCAGGTATTTCTCCATTTTGTCTTTTCAAGTAAACAGCTTTTGTTTCATTCATTATTTCTGTCTTTCAGTTAGTTCTGCCTTCATAATTTCCTTGTTTCTTTCTTCTTTGGGTTTATTTTTCCCCTGCATCTTTATTGATATCAGTGCTCAACACCTTTGTTTTCAGTCTAGATTCTTTTCTGATTAATGTATTTACAGCAAGTTTCCTTTTAACTAATGCTATGCCTATGTGTCATTAATCTTAGATTATGAGTGTTTCAAATCTTTGTTATGATTTCCTTTCAACTTCAAAGCTCAATTAATAGTTTTTTGTTGTTTTTAAGTTTGCAGGCACTTAGAAAATATTTAAAGCTGTTCTTTTGATACAGATTTAAAATTTTACTACATTGCGGTCAGAGAATCTAGTCTCCAGTGTAGATTTGAGGCAAGGGGATATTGTGGCTTCTTCTGTGGCTTGATGCACGGTGGATTTCTGTGAATGTACCATGTATGCCCAAAACAATCCATACGCTATGTTTGTGGATTATAAAGTTATATATGCACATGTATGTATGTATAAATATTAGTTTGAGCTTTTTGCTATTAAAATGTTCCATATCTTTGTTTATTTTTTGTCTAATCAGTTAGTGTCTAGAGGCATGTATTAGACGTGGTCATGTATAATTCTTGATTTTTCTGTCTTTATTCAATCAGCTTTTGCTCTCCCTGTGTGTATTTAAGGATATTATTAATCATTAGGTACACAGTTGTGTGTAGTCATATTAATTATTTTACAAGTATGTTTTTCTCCTTAAACAGGTTTTTTTCTGATGTTGAAGTTGCTAACTTAACTTTCTTTAGTTTCTATTTTCCATCTCTTTATTATCAACCTTTATATACATTTGGTTTTAAGTATGTGTCTTGTGCTAACACGTTCACTTCTCATCGCTACTGGATACAAAAGAATTTTGTTCTTCTGGTTTGAGAGTGTTAATGTTCTATCTTTATCTACTGGTGATTGTCCCCAATTTATCAACATTCCTAGGTTCATCAGTGTTTCTTTCTTCCCACTTACCTCACTCTCCACCTATCACTCTACTGATATCTACATTTTTGCTTTAGGATTGCCTTAAAGTTTATGTATTACGGTCCTGATTTTTGTATACAAGATTGAAATGAATTATAGTCCTACATACTTTAATTTCTATGTATCATGTAGTATCATATGGCATTTACTGCATTTCATTTCTTTTTTTCAGAGAAGGCATTCCTATGGTAAAAACTTCTGAGAATTTATATGGTTGAGAATATCTTTATATCACATATTTAAGTAATAGTTTATATGAATATAAAAATCTAGATTCTAAGTTCTTTTCCCATAGCACTCTGAAAATACTAACGTTGCCTTCTTGAACTTAGTGTTGATGCTTTGAGAGGGAAGGTGATTTTTAATTGGCCTCTTGTTCCTTTGGAAATACATTCTTTCTCACTGGAAGCTTTCAGCATTTTTTTTTTTTATCATGGATATTCTTAAATTTCACACCAAAAACTGTGACCAGGTGTGATTTTTTCCTTAACCATCATGCTTGGAACACCGGGAACTGTTTCATTTTGTGGTCTTTGATTTTTCTTTAATAATGAGAAATTCTCAGCCTTTATTTCTTCAAAGATTTCCTTCTTTTTTTTCCTCCTTCAGGGTATTTTATTTTGTACAGATCGACAGTTCTTACAGCTTCTTCATTCTCTTGCTTTTTCTCTTTTGTTTGCATTATTCAGTTACATGTTTTGTTTGGTTTCCTTGCATTTTCTACTGACTCATCCTTTGCTGATGTTCTTTGGGAGCTTTCTCTGAACTGATCTTTCAAACCACTATTTTGTTTTTCAGTCACATATATTCAGTGTAACCTGTGTATTAAGAACAACATCTTACAAGTTTCTTCCATTTACTTGTCTATAGGCTGGAGATAATAGTACCAACTCTGTAGTGTAGAGTTGTTTTGGAGAATTACATGTAATAATCCATGTAAAGTGCTTAGCACAATACCAAGTATATTGTAAAGGAAGTCTGCTATGTTTTTTTAATGTTTGTATTTTTCATATTCAGTATTTCTAATTGCTTATTCTGGTAACTGCTTGTCCTTGCTTCATGTTACCAATAAAAATCTATTATCTTTTTAAGAATGTCTTTTATGTCTATTACTATGTAACATTCTAATCACTCTTCTACCCATTATTTCTGCTTTGTCTCTTACAGGTGGTTCAGTTTGGTTTTTTTTTTTTGATATCGTTAATGTACAATTACTTGAACAACATTATGGTCACTAGACTCCCCCTATTATCAAGTCCCCCCCACATACCCCATTACAGTCACTGTCCATCAGCATAGTAAGATATTATAGAATCACTACTTGTCTTCTCTGTATATACTGCCTTCCCCATGTCCCCAACCCCCTACATTATGTGTGCTAATTGTAGAGCCCCTTTTTCCCCCTTAGCCCTCCCTTCCCACCCATCCTCCCCAGTCCCTTTCCCTTGGTAACGTTAGTCCATTCTTGGCTTCTGTGAGTCTGCTGCTGTTTTGTTCCTTCAGTTTTTTCTTTGTTGTTATAGTCTACAGGTGAGTGAAATCATTTGGTACTTGTCATTCTCCGCCTGGCTTATTTCACTGAACATAATACCCTCTAGCTCCATCCATGTTGTTGCAAATGGTAGGATTTGTTTTCTTCTTATGGCTGAATAATATTCCATTGTGTATATGTACCACGTCTTCTTTATCTATTCATCTACTAATGGACACTTAGGTTGCTTCCATTTCTTGGCTATTGTAAATAGTGCTGCGATAAACATAGGAGTGCATATGTCTTTTTCAAACTGGGCTGCTGCATTCTTAGGGTAAATTCCTAGGAGTGGAATTCCTGGGTCAAATGGTATTTCTATTATTAGTTTTTTGAGGAACCTCCATACCGCTTTCCACAGTGGTTGAACTAGTTTACATTCCCACGTGCAGTGTAGGAGGATTCCCCTTTCTCGACATCCTCACTGTTGTCTTTATTTTTTTTATGGCTACATTCTCCAGATGCCTAGTTATTTTGTTCTGTGAATACAGATTTCCCTGGGAGGGTGTCAGCTTCCTTTTATGTGTGTGTTTAAAGGTTTAGGGGAGAACTAAAGCCTGTTCTTAGCTAGGGTTTAGGGAAGACAGGCCAGGACCTAAGGTAGAGATTCTTCGCCTTTCCTATCTGTCCTTGACCACAGCCCTTTTCCCACCCAACCAGGCAACCCTCCAAGAACCTCTCTTCATCTCTACTCCCAGCCCTACTCTTTTCCAAGTTCTGCCTTCTTCAATTATAAGTTCTATCTATACAGTGGGAGGAAGGAACTGGAGAAAGTTGGGGTAGGTGGGAAGGACGTTTCCAGCGCCTGCGTCTAGTGTTACATGGTCCCCACTGTCTCAGTGTATGTGCCACCCTGCTGCTGATTCATTTGTCATTGGACCCGTGCTGCTTTCCCTCCCTGTTGTGTTGTCCAGGAAAGTAGATCCCTTGAGGGTGATGTGGAGTAAGCAACATACTTACACATCTAAAAAGCCCTTCCTCAGACTGTCCTGTCTGTGGACCCAGGCCCATTCATGCTCTGTGTTGCCGTCTCCCTCCGCCCTGTGACCCAGCCCCTTCTGTCTTTCCAGGGCTCTCTCACAGGTTTTATGTCAGGTTCTCAGGTCCAGCACCCTCTCCCCGTCAGTTTCACAGCATCTGGTTTAGAGAGGCTTTCCAGTTGTCATTGTCAGTTGCTGTTTTTCATGATTTATAGTTTTCCTTTTGTAATATTGTTTATAGTTTTCCTTTTGTAATATTACATTAATATTCTCATCAGGCTGATTTTTAAAACTGAAAAGAATTTCACATTTTTAGGAAGCTATCCAATTACATTTATGTAAGTCCAGTTCATCTTTGTCTCTCATACTAGAGGATTAAGTTAATGAAATAAGACTTTTATCAGAAAATTTTTGTTTGTAAAGCAACCTACTTTATTGCACATTAGATCAACATTACAGGAAAGCTTTTCTATAAAGTATTCATATTGTATCAGGTTATTTCTCTGTTAATAAATTCAGATTCCCTTGGCATCTTTCTCCTTATATGAAGAGATTTGAAATGAAGGATTTCGGTATATTCTATGTAGCAGAATCTTAACATTATAATTAGGAATTGTGGTAGAATGTATACAACAAATGTGTAATACAAAGCAAATTGTGTTTGTCATAAAGTAGGCTTTATCAGAAGAAAGAGAATTTCTGGAAGAAAGAAAGCCTTTTGAAATGTCATCGTTTATACTTACCCTTGTTCTAATGTTTCCCACTTCTGTATTCATTAAAGATGCACAGTAATCAAAAGGGCTTACTTCCAGAGCCAAACCCTGTACAAATCATGAAAAGCTTAAACAACCCGGCTATGTTACAAGTTCTTCTGCAACCCCAGCTGTGTGGGAGAGCTGTTAAACCAGGTAAGCACTGTGTGTACTGATTAAATACAGAATATCGGTATGAAGTTAATTGGGCTGTTTTACATGAAAAACATTTAAATTAGTCTAAAATACTCATTTTCTAGGATTTGTCAATTAACTTTAATTAATGATCTGAGGTGATACATTTTGATTGTTTGGTAGATACATTCTGCTTCCTTTGCCTCAATTTTTTTTTTGCATTATAAATGTTAAATATTCAACCTTCAGTTTAGCTTCTAGTTGATATGAATTTATGACTGGATAATAAATTATGCTACATTGTTATGGACTCTATCAACAAAAGATATGGTACTTTTCTGCATAATATTTTTAGCAAAATTACTTTGTTGAAGAATACTAAAGGTCTGTTTCCTCTTTGTTCTTACCTTTTCTGTGTAAAATCATTTTATTTTGAATAAAATGACAAAAAGCATTATGGAAATCTTTATAGTTGTAACTATGGGGGGAAAATGTGTTCTCAGCTTGGAGCAAGTAAATCAGGGAAACTTGTGAAGCTGAAATCAGTCAAAGAGAAAAAGTAAAGTGGGGGAGACCCGTTTATTGCCTACAAGAAGTTGTCTACTCCTGCTTGCCCGCTTCTCTCCCCCTCACGGCTGGCCTAAGGGGAGAAACAGATTCTCCCCACCCCTTGTAAACACCTATGGATATGGCCATGGCCTACTTCTCTCTACCCCTTATAAATCCCTATTGGTATGGAGAGGGACAAAGGCCATGCGAGAGATTCTGGAAATAATGCAGTTTTCCCCACAATAGTATTGTGTATACATTAAATATCTACCTATTTAGTATTCTTCCTCTGATAAGAGCTTACTTATCTTCTGAAGTGCACAACTGTACATACACAAATGTTCGTTTTAGCATTATTCGGAATTCTTACACAAATATTCATTTTAGCATTATGAGGAAAAGAATTTCTGTATCCACCACTAAAGTTTAAAGTCTTCAGAGTAAATATGTTTATTCTATTTCAGCTTACAGAACTTACAAAGCATTATATTTACAGTTATGGTTTTACTGTAAAAGACACAACTCAAGAGCAGCCAAATGAAGAGGACTAGGGCTAGGAGGGTCCTGAATGCACAGCTAGTTTGCTTTTACCCCCTGGGATCAGGGTACATGTCCCTTCCAGCACATCAGTATATTCACCAACCAAGGATCTCTGTTAAACTCAACTCCTTGTCCAGGGTTTTTACTGGATTTTCCCTGTGTAGACATCATTGGCCTTGTTATTAAACTCAGTCTTCAATCCCCCATCTCTCTCTGGAGGTCAGGAGGTCTGACTCAAATCACATGGCACAAAGCCCCAACCCTCTAAACACCATGATTAGTCTTTCTCACATGACCAGCCCCCAAGCTGAAGTTATTGAGGGGACCACCATGAGCCACCTCATTAGCATAACAAGCACTCCTATTATGTAGAAAATTCCAAGGATTTAGGGTTTTTCCTTCCTGGAACCAGGTACAAAGATCACTTAAGTTCTTTATTATACAACAATTTCATATAAGTACTTCATATGATCATCAATTATTTATGTATAAGAAGCAGCTTTTATGGTTTTCTGGCTTAGCCTTTTACGTAATCAGATATTTCTTCTACAGTTGAAATGGTGTAGAGATTTCTTTTTTAGGTCTTGACTACATAAAGCACATGAAGCTCATTATTTTCCAAGACAACATATTCCCTGGTTTGACACATCTAATTACTAGAAGGTTTTTCTTTATGGTACATGGTAATTCCTATCACTTTTAGGTAATCACTTATTCTAGCTCTTCCTCTGAACACAGAATAAATCAATTTCTTCTTCCCTAAGAAAAGGCTACTAATATTTGAAGACAATTATCATGAACTGTAGTCATTTTTTATTTTTCCCTTCTATTTTCCAGACCACAGGTACTTTTTGACTATGCAACCCTATCAGTAAAATAAATTTTGAGCAGAGCCCCAATATATACAGTGTATGTGTCAATTATATGCCAATTATATAACTGCACTGTTGTCAAGCCATGTATTAAGAAATGATAAAGCTTAATATTTTTAAAGATGAAAGTAAATATAAATAACAATTATAATATTTTCTTTCTATACCTCTTATGCCTCTTTAGAGACTACAGTTCTGTATTTGACTTTCCTTAACATGTCATAGAATATGCCCTCTAGATCCTCCCGCAAGCTGCCCTCTTGTAGATAGCCTAGGTTTTCTGGGTTTTCAAGAAATGTGGTATACACAGACATGAGCATATCCTGTAGATGGGTTCTGATCACAGAATACAGTGAAATTTCCTTCCTGTGATCACTATATTTCTACTAATGGAGTTCAAGATTGTAATAATGTTTAAAGAAATGTATCGTGCTCATGGGTCTTTTCAGGAAGTATTTTACACACTTTTGGACTCTGGGCTGTCTTTAGTAACTCATCTCCAATATTTTTCTCTGTTTATGTAAGAATATATATTTTTCCGTTTTTCTACTCAGTTGGTGTATGCTCAGATGAGATTATGCTTCCTTATTTTAGTACTTTCACAATTTTAAGTGAGATATTTCAGTATTACACTGATGGAGAAACTATTTCCCTAAGCATGGCCTTTTCTTTGTGTGGAGTGACAAGGGAAGAGAATTAAATCTTCTTCACTTGAACACATGTAAAGCTTTTGCAAAATGTATAGAAAGTTTCTTGGTGTTCAGGAAAAGTAAAGTATCTTGTTAATAAGTTCCATTTGTTTTTCCTTTAGTATGTCCTTTGCTATATCATAACTATAACCCTTAGTATACCCTGAACTCATCCCAGAGGCCTCTGAGCAAACTAAAATAATTATGAAGAATCATAATTTATATTATAAATTCTCTGTGTCTCCCATTAGAACAGAAGCTCCATAATTGCAAAGATTTATCTGCCTTGTTCATTTCAAGCATCTAGAACACAACTGCTATTTAAAGTGAAATGCACTTATATTTGTTTACTAATTAAGCCACTTCTGCCTAATCTAGTCTGTATTCTGCCATCAGATTGATTTTCTTTCCAATTTTGTTAAATACTCTGATCTTACTGATCTTTTCAATCCAGACCTTTTAACTACCTTCAAAAATACAATGTTATGTAAATATTCTAGACTTCTTTCTTTATATATGTGTGTGTATACATATGTACATATGTAATTTAAACTAGTATATAATTACAGTCTAAATTATATTTTAACAGCTTTTTTGGGGTATAATTGATATACATTAATCTGCACATATTTAGAGTGTATATATTTATTTCATGTATACACACATGAAATCACCACAGTCAAAATAATAAACATGTTCATTACTCAAAAGTTTCCCTTCACCCCTTTGTAATCCATCCCTCCACCTTCCCTAGGAAACTACTGGTTTGCTTTCTGTAATTATAGAGTAGTTTGTATTTTCTAGAAATTTATATGAATGGAATCACACAGTATGTACTGTTTGGCTTCTTTCACTCTGCTTATTATTTTGAGATTTATCCATTTTGCTACATGTATCAATTGTTTTTTGTTTTTTGTTTTTAATGCTGAGTAGTACTCCATTCCACAATTTGCTTGTCATTGACTTGTTGATGGACATTTCCAGTTTGGGATCATTATAAATAAAATTGCTATGAACATTTGTGTATAGTCTTTTTGTAGACTTACGCTTTTATTTCTCTTGGGTAAATATCTAGTTGTGGAATGGCTCCGTCATATGTATAAATTATAAGATACATAACTTATAAGAGGTGTAAGTTTCAAGAAATTTTCCCAACTATTTTCCAATATGGTTGAACCATTTTACATTCTCACCATCAGTGCTCAGTATCCTCCCCAACGCTTGATACAGTAGTCCTTCAATTTTAGCCCTTCAGCAGGGTGTATGGTACTATCTCGTGGCTTTAATTTGAATATTAACTTTCAACTAGTGATCTGGAGCATCTTTTATTATTGCTAGTTTGCCATCTTTATATCTTTTTTGTTAATATGTCTTTTAAAGTATTTTGTACATTTGAAAACTGAGTAATCTTGTTATTAAGTTGTAATGGTTCTTTATTGTAGATATAAATCCTCGGTTAGATAGGGTTTGCAAATATTTTCTTCAGTTCTGTAGGTTGTCCTTTTATTTTCTTAACAATGTCTTTTGAAGAGCAAAATTTATTATCTGCACAAAGTTCAATTTATTTTTTCTTCTGTAATTTGTATTTTCTGTGTCATATTTAAGAAATCTTTGCCAACTTCAAGGTTGCTAAGATGTTTTCCTGTTTTCTTTGAGAGCTTTTATAATTTTACCTCTTACATGTAGATCTGTGACTCATTTTGAGGTAATTTTTGTTTATGATGTGAGGTAAAGATCCAGGTTCATTTTTTTTTTTTGCTGTTCTAGCATCATTTATTAAAAAGATTATCCCCTTTCCATCAGATTTCTTAACACCATTTTCAAAAATCAATGGCCATGTACCTATGGCTCAATCTCTGGACTCTCTATTCCATTCATCTAAATGTTTGCCTTTATAGCAATACTGTATTGTTTTGGTAAGTAGCTTTATGGTAAGTCCTGAACTCAGTCTAAATCCTCCATCTTTATTCTTATTTTTTAATTTGTTTTTTCCTATTCTAAGATCTTTGCATTATACCTTAATTTTTGAATCATCCTGTCAGTTTCTGAATCATCCTGAAAAATATCTGCGAGGAATTTGAATGGGATTATGTTGAATCTATATACTAATTTGTGCAGAACTGCAGCAGTTTTGAGGTTGAACTATAAATATGGTTTATTTCTCCATTTGTTGAGGTCTTTTTTAATTTTTCTCTCAGCAATACTTTATAGTTTTCAGGGTACAGATCTTACACATATTTTATCAGATTTATCCATAGTATTTCATATTTCTTGATACTGTTTTAAATGGTATTGATTTTTAAATTTCAATTTTCAATTGCTTGTTGCTACCATATACAGGTACAATTGATTTTGTATGTTGTTGTATCTTACAACCTTGCTTATTATTTCTAGTAGGTTTTTATACTTAGGATTTTCTATATAGACAATTATGTCATCTGCAAATAAACACAATTTTACTTCTTTCTTTCAATATGTGTGCTTTTTATTTCTTTTTCTTGCTGTATTACATTAGAAATTCCATTATAATTTGCCCATTGAACTGGTGAGAGTGGACATCCTTGCCTTATTGATCTTACAGAAAAAGTATTCTATCTTTTATTATGTTAGCAATATTTTTTCACAGATTTCCTTTTTCTAGCTGGGAACTTTGTCTTCTATACCTGTATTGCTGAAAATTTTTATTATAATCGCTGGAATTTATCCAATACTTTTCTCCATTTATTGAGATGATTTTAAGTGTTTTTTGTTTTATCTTTTAGCACAATGAATCATTTGATTGATTTTTGAATGTTAAATCAACCTTTCATACTTAGGGTAAAGCTTGCTTGGTCATGATGTATTATAATCCTTTGAGTTTTGTTCAAGGATTCCATATTATTACTGATTTTCTGTCAGTTTATTCTATCAATTATTGATAGGGAGGGATGCGGCACAGTGGAAAACCTAGCCAGGCCTGCCTCAGCAAGTAGTAAAATTTTGAAACAGAGTTGTTAAAAGCATGGGATGAACTTGTAGAGATGTTATTTATAAATTTCAAATATTTTTGGTCATTGGATTTTATGCTTTTGAATTACTTTCTAAGCCTGACCGGTGTTTCTAATTAACTATTGTATTGCTACAGTTTTGTGTATTATGAGTATTTCCAGCTACTTTATAATAATTAGATGATGTTGCTTCATATGGTTTCTATCTCATGGTTCTTCTCTACATATTATCTACTCTAAAAAAATCTCTTGTGATATGTACTTTGGTATTTATACTCTTAGAAAAACTTGACGAGTATGATTATCATTTAATCTTTTTATCAACTTTGCATGGTATTGATTCTTTTGTTTTTTATTACATAAGTATTTTTGTGTACATGTATTCTCTTATCATTTAGATTGTAAGTTTTTCAAGGACAAGGATTATATATATATGTGTGTGTGTATATATATATATATTTTTAATTAAGGTATCATTGATATACACTCTTATGAAGGTCTCACAAGAAAAACAATGTGGTTGCTACATTCACCCTATTACCGAGTCCCCCTTCATACCCCATTGCGGTCACTGCCCATCAGTGTAGTAAGATGCCACAGAGTCCCTACTTATCTTTTCTGTGCTACACTGTCTTCCCCGTGACCCCCCATATACCATGTGAGCTAATCATGATACCCCTCAATCCCCTTCTCCCTCCCTTCCCACCTGCTCTCCCCCACCCCCTCCCCTTTGGTAACCGCTAGTCTCTTCTTGAAGTCTGTGAGTCTGCCACTATTTGTTCCTTCAGTTTTACTTCGTTGTTATACTCCACAAGTGAGGGAAATCATTTGGTATTTGTCTTTCTCTGCCTGGCTTATTTCACTGAGCATAATACCCGCTAGCTCCATCCATGTTGTTGTAAATGGTAGGATTTGTTTTTTTCTTATGGCTGAATAGTATTCCATTCCCACCCCCTACTCCCTGCCAAAATACTCCAAACACCTAACAAAACTACTGAGGAAATAACATGGGTTCAATTAGTATTATTAGAATGGGGAATTAGTTTTGTTACACCAAGTACTAGAGAAGAAAAAGGCTAGGTTTGCTTTTTTACCATTATGGCAGAGGTATTGGAATCTTAAATCAAATTCTAGGATTGACTCACAAGGAAAGGAGCCTGTCACTTTTTGTACAATTACAAGGTCAGTATATCATTGGTCAGTTTACAAATTCATTGGAGGTTCAAGTTTAAAGAGATATTCATTTACCCTTTCTGGAGTTTGTTTTATTTCTAAATTCCATATCTATTATAAAGTTAAATTTTTACTTTTATTTTCTTAAAGCAATTCTTGGAACACCTCACAGCTTGCCACATCTGATGAATCCATCCATCTCCCCTGCATTTTTACACTTGAATAAAGCACATCAGGTATATATGAATAGCACTGAGTTCTGAGCTGAGCATCAGAAATGTGGAATGAATATTTCATTTGTTCTTAACACTTAAAGTTCTCAAGTATGACTTAATGGTACTTCAGATCAAATTAATCAAAGCAGCATAGATGTATATATTTATTGATTCTTATTTGTAGGTTATTAAGAGAGGAGGTATTTTGTGGTATATTTATCTAGAAATCTGTAGTCAAAAACAAGTCTATGTGGTCTTAAATATTACAGAAAGGCGTAAATGAACAATAACTCTTAATTCTTAAAATTTAATCAGTCATATAAAAGTAATCCATTATTTATAAAAGTAAAAAATATTTTTCTTACCTTTTTCAGACAAGTATTTTAAAATGTGTTTGTATATACAAATACCTATAATACTGGAGATACACATTACTCATTAATTTTAGGTACTAGTTAAGGCTCGCTCTCTATATAGAAGCCTAATTGTAAAACAAACCTAATAACATTGCAGGTAATGGATATAGATTGAATGAATGAATGTCTATTCCTAAAACCCAGTCTTTTAAGGGAAAGGCCTATCCTTTATTTAGTTTTTTCATTCTTAGATTCTAACATAAGACATTTTACATTATTGGGTCTTTATTCATTCATTTACTCAACGTATTTTATTGAGAATCTAACATGTACTAGACACTCTGCTAGTTGCTCAGGCTATAGCATTGAACCAAATATTCAGTCTCTGATAGCATAGGATTTCAACCAAAGAGGACACAAATGTTAAACAATTTCAATAAGGTGTGAAGAGTGATACGAGAGGGGAGTTCTGAGTACTGAACATAGTCTCTCTATTTTAGAATAAAGACCAAAATATTTAATTTTGCCTTTCAGGCCTGTCCAGGCCGGCCTTGCCTGCCTCTCGTACTCTTTGGGTGTCACCATCAGAGCCACCGTGGCCTGCTTGTGGTCCTCAAAGGACCTTGTTCTCTTCTTCTTAGGTCTTTGTAACTGCTGTTCCTTCTTCCTGGAACAGGGGTGCTCCCCACCCCAACACTACCTAATTCCCCTGACTAGTTATTTCTCCATAGACTTCAGATCTCTTTACAAGAGATCTTTTTTCATTTGTTCTTAACACTTAAAGTTCTCAAGTATGACTTAATGGTACTTCAGATCAAATTAATCAAAGCAACAGAGATATATATATTTATATATGTCTCTTTACAAGAGTTAGTTTCTCAGGGAGCCTTCCTTGAATTTGCCATCTAAATCAAATCCCCTCACTGTTTTCATAGCACCTTGTATTTTTCCTTCATATACTCATCACCAGTTATAATTACATGTTTTTATACTTAATGTTTCCCTTCCTTAGGGGATTATAAGATCCTTGAGGCCAATCATATTGTTGTATTTCTAACTATGTAGCACAGTGCCTGGCACACACGTAGAGCTCAATAAATCTTTGTTGAATGAATAATGAATAAATACATGATTGAATGACATGGACTTTAAAGCCAGAAAGGGGTGAGGGGAGGGGGGAAGGATGAAAGAAAAGGAGAAGCTGTGGCATTAGTTTCATGACTAATGGTCATATCTTATGTATTATTTAAAGAATTAATTAGTGTCGCCTGAAGTTGGAAAGTGAGACTTTTAGAAGGTGTTGCTTTTGCTCAGATCAACTGGAGAATTGAACTTTAAAATGAATTGGGTTATACAACAAGTAGCTTTTCAAAATTAAACTAACTTAATATTTTATCATTTTCACAGAGCTCAGTTATGCGTAATACTTCTAATTTATTCCTTCAGAATCTTTCTCATGTACCACTGGCACAGCACCAATTAATGAAGTTTGAGAATATTCATACCAACAATGTAAGTGTGGAATTATTGCTTTTCTGTAATCAGGCTCTTGGTCAGATTGTTTATGCATTTTCACATGTGTAGCCTTTTAATTAAATTATATCCTGCTGCACTGGGCAAAAGTCTGACTTTCTCTTCTTCTTTTGCAGAAACCAGGCTTACTTGGAGAACCGCCAGCTGTGGGACTTCAAACTGCAGTAGGGATGGGGTCAGTGATTCCACTGAAAACAGAGTTGGGTCATCACGGAGAAGCACATAAAAGTAAATGATGTGTATTTACTGAGAAGTCAGTAAATAAATTAGAGTTTTAAAGATGGTTTGCCTATAGTTTACAGAAAGGTCAAATTTGAGTTTTATTCAGTCATTTAGAATTTCAAGAGCCCTCTTGGCTTTTCTATTTTTAATATTAGAAAATTATTGGTACCTTATTGATGGACCTGCTTCCATGCTAAGATAAGACTTTCCCTGTAGGGTATGCTTTAATATTTGATGAAGGTTCACAACAGCATGAAGCAAAGACATAGACCCACTGGAGAGTGACATGCTGCCGACTGGGCTGGCAGCACAGTATATGGGTGTCCACTCAGTTTTTGCCTGGATAAGAAACCATTAGCTTTTATGAAGAAATATTTGGTATTTGTAAATTTAAAGTTTGAATATTTATTTGTAACCTTTCTTAAATGTGATCTCCAAATTAGTATTAGAAGAAAAATAATATGCATACTACATACTTCTGAAAAGATGACAAATTTAAACAGAACTGTTTTTCTTTTAGAAAACCAAGAACATGGTGGTATAATAAGATTTCATAGTTGAATATGATTTTGAAAGGCACTTTCAACTTGAAGTCATTGAAATTTGAAGTGAGCATGCTGAGGGAAAAGAGAAGGACCACCAGTAATTTCTTTAAAAAGCCAATTAAAAGCAGGTAGCATATTCAGCCTCTTTACGTAAAACCAACAAGTCAAATGATGAAATAACTCAATCAGTTCTGTAGGAATTGACTAGGCAAAAGTTAAACCAGTAAAAAGACAGGTGTAGACATCTTTATGGTGGGATGGGATCTGCCACATCACAAGCTTTTTGCATTTGTGGTTCACTACAGCATCTATTCTGATTCCAATTCAAACAGCTATAACAGCTGGAATGGGCATGTTTATCATTCTTTCCAAATCAGCACATTGCTGGACAAGCTGGGCCAGGGCACGGGAATACTCAGGAGAAACAGCCAGCCTAAAAAATTAAATTTTGTACGACTAAAAGCTTATGCAGATGTTTATTATTTGTGTTGGAATAAATAGTAAGCCATTTGCTTTAGTCTGTGTTTCTTTAAAAGCACTGAAAAGTCAAAGTACCCAAATAAATAACTTTGCTAAAAGAATTAAGTATCCATCACTAAATATTTACTATACTGGGAATAATTTAAGATACTTAGTGAATTTGTAAAATATAAATGTGACTTAAAGTAGCTATCAGAACTCTTTCATTTACCTTGACTTACAGATTTATGCAGAGTGGAATGGTTCAGAATTTTCCTATTAAAGCTTTCATTTCTAGCAGAATTTCTTGTTACTCCCTGTAAATAAAATTGTTAACACTTTCATGTGTCAAATTTGATGCTTATCTATTCACAAATATTGATATTTCTTAAACCAGTAGTGTGTTGATATTTAAAAATCAGCTCTCTAGATTAAGAACAATTGTCTACTTATAACATTTGTGAATTTCTGTGTTCAAGCTCTCCAGTCATGGTCAATTTCATGTTACCCAAGTGAAGACATTGACTTTAGAACTGGGAAGAGATCCAGTTCGCTATTATGAACAGGAGCAAGTCAGTTGTTCAAATTAATTGTTGAATTTAATCTAATTTCATTAATTTTTAAGTGTCAGAAGTTTTTAAGCTGAAGATTTATTTAATCTTTTCAAAGAATGGAAGCAAGCAAACTACAGTGATTGGGCACAAATAAAAAGGCCCTGATGTGACCTGAATGCCAAAAAATATATAAACTCTATTCTCAACTTCTAAAATATACAATTAAAACTTGGAATTAAAAAATAAAATATTCTTGAGATTATCCTAGAAGTTGTTGAAAATAAGAAAAGCATGATTACTATTAAAGAATTTTTTTTTCCACACAGGATCTTGCTAATTTACAACCTCTAACCTAACGTTTTGAATTTAACTGTTCTCTAATAGGAACAAAATAGGCTTCTTCACATTTGGCCCATAACTTAACAAAATCAAAAGTACTGTTGTAAGTTTTGTCTAACCAAAAGCTTTTTGCATTTGTGGTTCACTACAGCATCTAATCTGATTCCGACTCAAACAACTATAACAGCTGGAATGGGCATGTTACCATTCTTTCCAAATCAGCACATTGCTGGACAAGCTGGGCCAGGGCACGGGAATACTCAGGAGAAACAGCCAGCCTCGCTGGGGAAGACAGAAGGAAACTTCTCAGGGTCACAGGCGTATCTTCAGAGCTTCCCAAACCTTACTGCTGGAGGCTTGCTGACAGGATACCATAAGCAACAGCAAAGTCCACCAAAAGGCACAGAGCTAAGTTCAGGGGTAAGAAAACTGTGTGTGTGTTCATACATACACATACACACATACATGTACATGTGTGTATTCTACGTATACATCACAGAAATGTATACACATACAGATAATTCCTTTTCATTATATCTTAAAATCTAATTCTAGAGTATTAAGATTTTTGTCTATTTTACAGGTAATATAATCTATGAAATATAAAGCAATCTTTTTAAATTTCAAAGGAAGTTAATGTACTTAAAGTATATAATATGGATTGGTTAGAAACTAGATAATTGCTGTAATAAATCAATGACATAATGACTCGTAGTGAACATTTATTTCATAATAGTCTGATGTTTTAGCAATGTCATATTAACTAAAAATAATTTAGCAGATGCTGGTGAGCATTGATACATGTTATTGTAGAAGTGATTCCTCTATCTGGAAGAAGTCACTTCTACATTACTGTAGAAGTGATTCCTCTTTCTGACAATAGGGGCTTGGACCAGGTAACCTCAAGTTGTTTTCCAAGTATGTAGCAAAATTTTGGACTTTGTTAAATAATTAATTTAACACGGCTTTAGATTTTTAGACCTGCAATTGAAAAAAATTTTATTGAGGTATATTTATGTTTCAGGTCTACAACATGATTGGATATTTGTATATCACAGAGTGATTGCCACAATAAGTCTAGTTAATATTTGTTAGTTTTTCTAATCTTATGAAGAGAACTTGTGAGATCTAGTCCCTTAGCAACTTTCAGATATGCAGTACAGTATTAACTGTAGTCATCAGGTAATACATTATATCCTCATGACCTATTTATGTTAAACTGGAAGTTTATTGGCAATAAACTTTTGACCCCTTTCACCTATTTTGCCAACCTCCTCCCCGCCTCTGGCAGCTGCCAATCTGTTTTCTGTATCTATGAGATCGTTTTATTTGGTTTGATTTGGTTTTAGATACCACATATAAGTGAGGTCATACAGTATTTGACTTTCTCTGTCTGATTTCACTTAGCAAAATGCACTCAAGGTCCATCCATGTTGTTGCAAGTAGCAAGATTTCCTTCTCTTTTTTTAAGGCTGAATAATATTGTGCAATATGTATGTATGTATATATATTTTGCATATGGACAACTCATTTCCCAACACTTTGTTAAAGAGACTACCCTTTCCCCATTATGCATTCTTGGCACCCTTGTCAAAGATAAATTGACCACATATGTGTGAGTTTATTTCTGGGCTCTCTACCCACTTGATCTTGGATACAATCCTTTTAATGTGTTGTTGAGTTTGAGTTGCTAGTGTTTTCTTTAGGGTTACTAGTGTTTTTGTTGAGGCTTTTTGCATCTATGTTCATCAGGGATATTGGCCTTCTTTTCTTACAATGTCCTTGTCCTGGCTTTGGTGCTGGGGCAATGCTGGTCTCACAGAATGAGTTAAGAAGTGTTCCCTCTTCTTCAATTTTTTGGAATTGTTTGAGAAGGACTGGCATTAATTTTTTAAAAAAATGTTTAGTAAAATTCTCCAGTGAAGCCATTTGGTCAACGCTTTTCCTTGCTGGGAGACTCTGTATTTATTTTTTTGAATTTTATATGTGATTGGCATTCATAGGCTAGAGTTGCGAACCCCTGATAACAGATGTCGTCTGATGTTTTAGCAATCTGAGTATTTTAGAAACAAAATCTGAGACATCTTTGCTGGTTACCTTTCCCCTGCTTAATCATTGCAATTTCTCTTGGGTACTGTCCCCTAATCATGTAGTATGCTCTCCTTTGACATATATCTAATGGTTCTGGCTCCTACCTGTAATCTTACAGTTCCATCTTAGGTTTCTCTTGAGCTTCCATATCTCCTTAACAGAATTTCTTAATGTTCCTGTTGTACTCATTTTAGTATTTCCAGTGCATGCCACAGTGCCTGGAGTGTAGTCCAGTGTTCAGGAGACACATGTGAATGAATGAATACATCTTCATCTGTAATTTATATACCACAAGCAAATCTGACTTCTTTGGGGCTTATGAAGATGTACAAGACAGATTCCTGTGTCCAAATACAATAGTGTTGGCCAATAAGGAATATAAGGAGCTCTGATTCTCAAATATAGAAGTAAGCCCCTGAGATTATACTTTCTTCATTCTGTTTAGGGAACAAAATAAAAATTAATTTAAAATGAGAACTTAGCTACTAGCTATAATTTTAATTACAGTAACTTGGATTGGGTCTTCCTTAAAAAGTATCAGAAAGTGAAAAGTAAAAAGTTCTGTCAGACAACTATGAAATACTGATTAATACCAAAGAATCAGTCCATGATTTTGTCATCTTTTGCTACCATTAAAGAAATATTAGCATCCTTATACCTAGTTATATAATAATGTACAGATACCATGTATTTTTAAGAAATGTGAATTTCTAGAGCTGTCATATAAATGTAGAGTTGGATTTTATTAAATCCACTTATTTTGTTGGATATTATTTTTAGTACCAGAGATAAATCAGCTTTGCTTTGTTATTTGGCTGTGGCCATACAATGTAAAATAAAATCCTTAACAAGAAAATGTTGATGACAGTATTTCTGGAAATAAGGTATGGGATTTGTTATTCCTCATGAAGGTAAATTCTTTCCCAGTTTAAGTGAGAAGATACAAGATGGCCTTTAACTCTACTCCAAGTTCTATGGTTTTAGAATTTAAAAAGAAAACTAATTGAAAAATAATAGGATCTGATCATTTTAATCAATATCCAGACATATGTCATAACTACATATCTTCCAACATTAGGTTCCAGAAATTTTTATGACGCTACTGAAGAACAAGTATTTCTCTATTTCTGCATTTTTATTTTCTGATACTTTAAGCACCCACTCTTGTTTTTGATAAATAGGTTGCCTCTAAGAATCAGACTTCACTGCTGGGAGAACCGCCAAAAGAAATCCGGCTCAGTAAAAACCCATACTTGAACTTGGCGAGTGTGTTACCCAGTGTGTGCTTATCTTGTAAGTGAGAGCTCAGTATTAATATCTTAGAACTTAACTGAATCCTTTCCATAAAAAATTATTTTAACTTAATGGAAGCAAATAATGCCTAATGACCAATTAAAGCCTAAATTATGACCTCAGTCTTTGAACTGAAAGAGTAACTAAAATTAAGACACTTAAAATGAATTCTCTTTTATTTAAGGAAGGTACTTTTATAATATTTATTGAGCATATAATCAATTTATTGAATTACCATTGAATCATGATTGAAAATAATTGGGCAAAGGAATTATTTGGCAATATTGTTAATGCTTTACAATACATACAGAATTGTATTTCTAAAACAGAGTTTTAAACCTCTTAAGTAATGTAATATATCCAGAGTATTTGCAAAATACTCCAAAATATATGAGCTATTAATAATTGGCAGAAATGGAATCCTCATTTACTTTTTTGGAGGACCTCCTCAGACCCACAATTAATGTAAATTAGCTATTAATTCAAATATAGGTTTACGAGAAACTGCAAATTTGATGTGCTTTGGTTTATAGTGCACTATTATATAATGTTTATAAGCACTGTGGTGTTTTAGATACAATACTAGGTATCAATAGTGAAAACCAGGACAAAGTGCCTCAGTGTTCCTCATTAGAGAAATAATTAAATAAGTAAATAGCTCATCATAAAGTGAAATACTGTGCAACTATTTTTTAAAATATTTGAGCAAGAGTTGAATGTACTAATATAAAATGATCTCTAAAGCAAATGCATGCATAAAATGATTCCATTTATGTTTATTTAAAGCCATGTATTCTTACATGTACATATTTGAATGTGTAAATGCATAAAGTAAATCTGGGAAAATAAATTCTAAGTTATTACCTCTGGGAAAAGAATAGGATTGAATGAAGAGAGATGAAAAATGAATTTTGTTTTTAATATCCATTATCTGTATCTTATGCAGTATCTTCTTGAACCTAATTTTGTATCCTCTTGAATATAATTTTTTTGAAAACCAGAAAAAAACTTTAATGTGCTGGTAGTATGTCTATATTTTTAACTGATGTAAACATTGATGTTTACAACCATTGCATTAACAAGAGTGGTGAGTTTACATTTTACATATCTTGCTTTAGAGATTAGAGATATATATATATAAATATTTTCATCCGAATTAATAACCCATAGGTCAGGCCCCCATTTTCAGTTGTTTTAAATGGATGAGACAGAATCATAAACTATATATATTTCCCCTGGAGATAATAAATTAGATACATACTGGCAAACTAAAATTTGTGTTCCATTTGAGAATATGCTGAATTATTGAGTTTGGTACTATACTTATAATGAAACAACCTAACTAAAATATATGTATTGATGGGGTTTTTGTTGTTTTTTTAGCCCCTGCAAATAAAAACACTCTGCAGAAGACTGGAATTGCAAACAACATTCTGGATGCAATCTCTCAGGGAAATGAACCACAACACACATTGGAAAAGTGCATTGCTTACTCTCAACCTTGTGGTGATTATGCCCAGGTAAATGATGCTCAGGATTTGATGATACATAGAAACATGGTTCAACTCTACTGAATTCACTATGAAATTGTGATTCCTGTAATATCACAGGAAAGTAAAATTACTCTAATCTACACCGTATTTCTTGCTCGCCATTTGGAATTCTACTTTGCACTAAATATTTACCTCTCATTGTTTACACTAGTGGTCAGCAAACTACAGACCAAATCCAGCCACCGCTTGTTCTGTAGTAAATATTTACTGGAAAACAGCCACATCCATTCATTTACATATCCTCTTTGGTGGTGGTGTGCTACAGTGGCCGAGTTGAATAGCAAAAACAGACTATATGGCCCACAAGGTTAAGTATTTGTTATCTGGCTCCTTTTACAGAAAGACTCTGCTGACCTTTGGTTTACACCAGTGTAGACTTAACTCAAGGAAAAAATGTCACTTCTCTTCATTAATGCTATCATTAAAGAAACAGGATTGTAATTACAGGCACTGTTATGTTAACTTTTATTTATTTATTTTTTTGAGTTACAGCTGATATAAAATGTTATACTGGTTTTAGGTACACAAAATAGTGATTTGACATCTATATGCATTACTAAATTGCTCACACTGTAATATTAATATCTTTGTATGATGACAGATGGTAACTAACTTATGTTTTCAAGGAAGGACTAGTTTATAGTTTCATTGATATGTTGGATGCATAGATATTTATCATTCTTATAGCTCTTTGTTGAACTGGTCCCTTAAATCATTATTTAAAGCCCTTGTCTCTTGTTACATTCTTTGTTTTGAAGTCTGTTTTGTCTGAAGTAAGTATTGCTACGCTAGCTTACTTTTTCACTTCAATTTGCATGGAATATCTTTTTCTGTCACTTCACTTTCACTCTACACATCTCTTTGGGTTTGAAGTGAGTTCCTTGTATGCAGCATATAGATGCATCTTGTTTTTTAAGCTATTCAGCCAGCTTATGTGGTTTGATTGGAGTCTTTTGTCCATTTACATTTAAAATAATTATTGATAGGTGTGTACCTATTGCCATTTTGTTAATTGTTTTCTGGTTGTTTGTATAGTTCTTTATTCCTTTCTTGTTCTTTTCCCTTGTGATTTGATGACTTCTTTAGTATTATGCTTGCATTCCTTTCTCTTTATTGTTTGTATATCTGTTAAAGGTTTGGGTTTGTCGTTACCATGAGGTTCATATATAGCATGTTATATAGAGCAGTCTAAATTAGGTTGATGGTCACTTAAGTTTGAACACATGCTAAAAGCACTACTTTTTTCTTATATGTCCTTCTACATTTTATGTATATGGTGTCATAATTTACAGAATTTTATTTTGTGTGTCCCTTGACTAATTTTTCCTTATATAATCGATTTTGCTGCTTTTGTCTTTTTAGCTTCATGATAGCCATGTAAGTTAGTTTGGTCTGTTACCTTTACTGTATATTTGTTTTTACCTATGATATTTTTTCCTTTCCTAATTTTCTTAATCTCTAGTTATGGTCTTTTCTTTTCCACTTAAGGAAGTCACTTTAACATTTCTTGTAAGGCTGGTTTAATGGTGATGAACTCTTTTAACATTTGTTTCTGGGAAACTCTCTCCTTCAATTCTGAATGATAACCTTGCTGGGCAGAGTATTCTTGATTGCAGGGTTTTTTTTTTTCCTTTCAGTACTTCATATATATCATGTCACTCCCTTCTGGTCTGTAAAGTCAGCTGATTCCTTCATGGGATTTCCCTTCATGTAACTATCTGCTTTTCTCTTGATACATTGAAGAATCTCTCTTTATCTTTCATCTGCTGTTTTTACTATCTTTGTGTGGACCTCCTTGGGTTCATCCTGTTTGGGCCTCTCTGTGCTTCCTGGACCTGGATATTTGTTTTCTTCCCCAGGTCAGGGAAGTTTTCAGCTCTTTTCTTCAAATGATTTTTCTTCCCCTTTCCCTTCTCCTTCTGGGACCTCTATCATGTGTGTGTTGTTTGAAGTTGTCATAGAAATCTCAATGTCTTTCCATTTTTTAAATCCTTTTTTCTTCCTGTTTCTCAGCTTCATTGCTTTCCACTACCCTGTGTTCCACATCACTGTTCTGTTTTCCTCATCCTCTAATCTTTTGTTCATTCCCTCTAGTGTATTTTTCATTTCAGTTATTGTATTCTTCAGCTTTGACTGATTCTTTTTGAAATTTTCTACCTCTTTAAGTCCTTGAGTTCATCCACTCTTCTCTCCAGTTTGGTGAGCATCTTCATGATCATTATTTTGAATTGTTTATCAGATATATTGCTTATCTCCATCTCCATTTCATTTAGCAATTTTTCAGCATTTTTGTCTTGTTCTTTCATCTGGAACATGTTCCTCTACCTCCTTATTTTGTCTGGTTTTCTGTGTTTATTTCTATGTACTGTATAGGTTCTCTATGTCTCTTGGTCCTGACAGCAGTGGCCTTATGGAGTAGGCATCCTGTGGTGCCAGTAACACAGTACCACTGCCTCCCAGGACTGGGTGCTGCGGGGGTGTCTCTTGCGTGGGCCATATGCACCCTCCTGTTCTGGCTAAGTCATGACTGCTGTTTTGGGCTGGTAGTAGGCTGGCCTTCAACCTGTGGTCAGTAATAGCCTAGGGGCTACTGTGGTTGCACTAGTTTGCGAGGCTCATTCTAGGTGCAGCTGCCTCCGAGACTTGGCACAGACCTTGCTAGTGAGCTGGTGGTCAGCTGGTTGCCAGCAATGACCAGTGTGTCCACTACTAGTGTGCTGGTGGATGCGTTAGCCCCTCCCCTCTCTAAGAAAGTAGACTCTTTGGTGGGGGCCTGCTGGACCAAACATGGTAGGTGGGTCAAGTCCAAAGGGAATGTTGGTGTGGAGTGAGCATTACTGGCAAAGTAGATGGAAAGTGTCAGAATAGGCTTCTGCAAACTTCCAACCTGCTGGGCTGAGGAGGACTTGAAAAATGCCATCTGCCAGCCCCATCTCCCCTGGAGAAAGCTCCTGTAGGCCTCCATCCCTCTGATACATGTCCTAAAGTTAGTATCTCTCCTTTCAAACTGTTGCTTCTGTGTTGGGTTTCTCAGGTTGATTGGCAAAGCATCCTGGTCCTCCCAGAACAGAGATTTGGCCCCCTGCCACCCTGCAGCTCTCCCTGACATTAAGCCTTACTGATTTTCAAAGCTAGGCATTATGATGGCTCATCTTCCTGGAGTAGATCCCCATGGCCAGGTGTGCTGAGATGTGGGGATTTTATCATCTCCCCACTCCGCTGCTCACTCCCTCCTGTATATGGGTTGGGATGGGGGAAGGGTTTGGGTCCCCACTGATCCTGGCTCTGCCCCTTTGTCCTTCTCAGTGTAGGCTTGCTTTTTCGTTAGGCTGGGGAAGGTCTGTCCTGCTGATGCTCAGGTTGTTTCAGAGTTAGTTGCATTAGATGTAGTTGCTGCCTCCGTGTGAGGAAGTTATCACAGTGACCTCCTATTCTTCTACCTTTCCAGAATCCTATGCCAACTTTTAAACTAATCAATGAATAACATAAAAGTATTATATTAAAAAGATGTAGTATCTCTTTACTTAAATATGTCAATTTTGTTTTGCCCTTTTCTCCTTCAGGTTATTCTTAGTGGCTTCAACTCAGAGTATATGTCATGTTAGCAGTATATGATTATAATAATGAAAGCCTTATAATTAAAAATTCAGGTTCTTTGTATTTTCCCAGAACATTCAACTTCTTCTCAGCTCTGTCCTATCTGTGGGAGCAATGCCCCCACTTTGATTTCCTTAGAACAACTGTGTACCTCACTTGTCTCTCATAAACTTAGAAAAGACAATCTATGTGAAAATTCACTTTGAACAATTGATGATTGATTGTGCTTTTATGATAAGGTACTAGAAACACAGGCCAAATAGATTCTGTAGAAATGGTGCTGCTGGATATTAGAAAAATATACAATAAAGTGTCTTATATCCCTGTGGAAAAGATGGAGAAATTTTGGTTGGAAGATGGTGCAGTTAGGTGGCAACAGACTTATATTTAAGGATTGGGAATGGTGACCTGGTACAGCCTGGGAGACATTCTTTTATATGTTCCATAGACTCCATCTGTGTTCCTATTAACATTGTAAGTAATGATTTAGATAAGGACATTAATTTTATGCTGATTATGTTTACAGGTGACAAAAGCCAAGGAAATAATAAGAAATATGTAAAATCATTTATGAATAATTTATAGTTGTGAAAATTAGAAATAGCCTATATGTCCAACAATTGATAAGACTAAACCAATTATGTCATATAAGGAAACACAGTGCAAATACCAAAAATGATGTAAAGCAGTATGTAACCACATGTAAATGTTTCACAACCTACTGTTAACCTAAAAAATTTAGAGAATACAGTCCTGTACAATTCTAAGTTTTTTGTTTATAAAGAAAAAATTTACTTTTAGAAAGAGGAGGAAGCACAATAAATCTTTAAAAACTTATTTAAACGTGTGATTTAATTTTTAAGTCATTTTTTGTCCCTTTCATTTTTTTCTCGCTTGAAATTTGTGTTGCTTTCTCACTTGGCAGTTTTGCTTATTTGATTACTGTGGTTTAGGGTATGCTTACCATATCCACAGACACTTTCCCATTTACACATGGAGAAATCCTGTGGTAAAGATGCCTTTCACAGTGCCAGCCCTCTTCCTTCCCAGAGATGCTGCTGAGATGTGGATCCGCCCAGGCGCTGTGTCTGCTCGGACAGCCCCTGCTTCTACTTCATGCTTGTTCATCAAGTGGGATTTGTAGTTTTTCTTGTGTTTTTTCATCCTTATAAAGCAAATGGAATTAAATGTTATGAATGGAATAAAATAGCTAGAAAAAAGTCATGTTTTAGGCATTTCTTCTGTTTCGACTTCTGAAATAGAGGAAGAGGTCTAAGGGAAAGAAACTAACATTATTTGTTTTGTTTAACTTGCTATATGCTTTGCAGTGTAGGCATTTAATTGTTCTAACAGTGCTGTGAGACTTAAAT